AGAAGAAAATGAACAGAGGACAGGGGAGGAAAATCTCTCCTTCCCACCGCCTTATTTTTGTGCAGATAAGAGAGAAAAGTGATGGTCATCCCTCAGAAGACAAAAATCTGTCCTTATCCATCATAGGGAGTTTATATCTATGTAGATATTCATTGGGCCTGATATTATTGCAAGCGGTATTATTCTTGGGCTTTAATAATAAGATAAAATATAATAACTGACTTAATATATATCCACATGATTTAATATATATATCCACGTGGACTATCTTAATAGGCGAGGCCAAAATTAGGTATCAACAGTAGGCCCCCGACTTTAGAATACGTTCTGAATGGAACTGTTCTGAAGTCGCATGTAAAATTAATTTTGGCTGACTTTTGCTTTGTAACATAGTCGAGTTCAATGCTTTTTATGCGGTATTGAATGACATATGGACGTTATTCGGGCGCTTTGGGACCCGTGGTCACTTTATTGATCGTGTTCAGGCTTCGGCCTGACGTATTAACATCAATCGTGTTTTTTATTCTGACGAATGGAGTTGACTGCGTGGATAGTCAACTTTTTGGAGATTGCTATATAAATGGAGGCCTGGAAGGCCTAGTCGGGTAATTTGGTACCTGGTTCTCATATTTTGCGTGTAATATGACGCATTTTAATAGATTCGCGTCAGTAATGATGGCTTTGTGTGAGTACTCGGGCCCCATGATACTGTTATGGGATTCGCGATTTTGACGTCGTATTGAGACGACGTGATTTTTTCTTTTTCGTATTAATGTGGACCTGGTTGGATAATTCGTCATCTGGCCCTCGGTCTGATTTTTATTGAATTATTGCACGATCGGGTAGCGCTCCCGATGTTTCATGTGATTTTAAGAAAGGCGTTAGCCTCGCCAAGCCAACTTCAGGGTTTGGAAAAGATTGGGCGTATAGCCTCGCCAAACCAACTTCAAGGTTTGGAAAAGATTGGGCGTATAGCCTCGCCAAACCAACTTCAGGGTTTGGAAAAGAAGTGTTCATGTCAAAATGAATGTATGACGCGCGTATATGATTAATGTATGTATGAATGAATGTATGAATGTATATCTGAATGTATATCTGAATGCACGAATTTATAATAAGCACGTGCGGGAAATAGTTACTGTACGATAAATGATGTTACCTCGATGTTTTGTCGAGTCTGACTGTTTTGCCGGTAGGTGCTGTGCCTTGCCGGAATATTAATCGTACCAAATCAACTTCAGGATTTGGCAAAAGAACATTATTGATGTCGGTTATTATTGTAAGCCCGCTAAACCAACTTCAGGATTTAGCCACGAGGGGCATCAGCCTCCCCAAGCCATCTTCATGGCATGGAAGTATCCGGCTGTGTCGCGTTTGGCCAGGTCATACCAACTTCAGGGTATGAAACACGTTTAACCTTAGCAACGAGGACCGATTTATTGAGGTCCATTTATCGTGTCTCCCCATGGTAGGTTCTGTGCCTTGCCTTTTGCGGGGAAGACACACATTTTATGCACCGAACTATTTTTCGAGATTCGGCTCGTTTTAAATGTAGGAAGTGAAAGATACCTCAAAGGGGTATTACAAAGACGTCAGCTCAAGTGGAGTCGAGGCTCAACGACGAGCGGATAAAGAGACGTCAGCTCAGCCGGAGTCGAGGCTCAACGGCGAGCGGATATAGAGACATCGGCTCAGCCGGAGTCGAGGCTCAACGGCGAGCGGATATAGAGACATCGGCTCAGCCGGAGTCGAGGCTCAACGGCGAGCGGATATAGAGACGTCGGCTCAGCCGGAGTCGAGGCTCAACGGCGAGCGAAAATAGAGACGTCGGAGATAAATGACTGGTAGCGGCATAAAGGAATTCGGCCCCAGCTTTGATGAATGTAGTCAGCCCCAGCATAAGTAAGTGAAGTCTGGGACGATTGAGTGATAAATCAGCTCATAGTGAATAAGCTCGGCCCCAGTTGTCGTCTGGCCCCAGTTGTCGTCCGGCCTCAGTTGTCGTCGGTTTGAACAAGTGAACTTGGCCTCAGCAACGATAGACAAATGTGGCCTCAGTGTAGATAATCGAACTTGGTCCCATCAATAACTGAATCCAAAGACGAGCGAATGACAACTCGGGATAGTGTGAATGAGCCCGACACCAGTTAACGTTGGCATGAACAAATAAACTTGGAATTGGCTCCTCGTTGGTTAGAATAAATAATTTTAATTTGGCCACCGACGATCTGGATGAATAATCTTGGTTCCAACTGTGTCGGGTTGAGCAAATTTGTTCTCGACTCCCGTCACTTTGAGTAGATAAATTCGGCCCGCGGCAAGATAAATGAATTCGACTCTTGTGTTCGTCTGTTTGAATAAGATTCGACCTCGGCGTTGATAACCGGACCCAGAGACAAGCGAATGATAATTTGACAATGTGTACGAACTCGGCCCCGACTAACGTCGGCATGAATAAATAAACTCGGTCCCCATCGGTAGGCAATGAAGCGGCTCCTGGTGGTTGGAGTCGAAAACGAATACATTGATTTAGTGCGGCTTTGCCCGGCTTGGCATGGGCACTAGTAAGATTAATCCAGCTATATTTTATAAGCTCAACTTTATAGACGAAATCGGTTTGTTTGGTGGTCGTGTTTCTGTCCAATTCGTGCGGTCGGCCCTCAATTTTGAGCTTTGAATTTGGTGAATTCTGAAATCAGTTTGAGGCGATGCCGGATGTTGAGATGTCGGATATTGAGATGTCGGACCCCTGTTTGGGCCGATATGTTGAAGTCGGTTCCGGCCGATTTGTGTACTCACACTTCGCTTTTGAGGTCGAACTTAGAGGTACAGAAGTCGACGGCGTTCTGATTTGCGGTCGACGGTTTCGACCGTCATAGTAAGGTCGATTCTGTCGGGCTGAAGTCGGCCTTCACTTTGAGATCGGCCCGGCTGTTGAAGTCGGGCATCGTATTGTTGAAGTCGACGATGCCGAGGTCAAGTCCGATCTATTACAAGGTCTGTGTTATTTCAACGTCCGACGTCGATTTTTTAGGGTGGTTCTGCCTCGCCGGTTGGTTGTAGAAGATAAAATCGGTTCTGGCCGAAAGCTATTCGGTGAACAGTTGATGTCGGCCGTGACTGTGTGGACGTCGGTCAGATTTTGACAAGGATATCGGGATCTCGATTTGTGGTGACGTCGGTTTCGACCATCATTGTAAG